GAGTAAATCGTTCATGACTATCCTTTATGGGTTGTATAATGGGGTACATCTTGACTATGGTTTGATCCTATGGCAACAACTTGTTCAAAGCTTAACCTCCTCTTCTCGCCATTCTAAAGTCTCGTGTGGCAGGCGCTGGTCTATTGTCACGAAGTGGGCGATGGATCGTTTTCATGTCCCAATAATGGCGGACTCGCTTCTCTCCTCCATCGCAACCTTCCACACAATGAAGATTATTGTCAATAATACATCAAAAAAAATTATTGGATTAATTCCGGCATCCATGTATGCTTGTGTGTCTGAGGCAAGTCCGGTCATTCAAGAGTACAAGAAGCTTCCTTCTTCGGGTCCAAGGGAACTCACACCGGCTATGATTCGCTCAATAGAGGTAGGAAACAAGTTGACAAAGACGGGAAAGAAATAAGAAAAACAAAAGGAAGTGAGGGTTATCAAAGCAGCTAGGGGGCAAACTTGAAGGAAGTGAAAGTCAGAGAAGGCAACTCCTTCCCAACCTAAGCAGAAGAAAACCAAAAAGCCAGCCCGGAGGCTTATCCTTCAAATTTCCAACGATTCAGACTCTGAGTATCTTCCTACAGGCCATAAACAACCTACTCCTACCGTATTTGAGAGTGAAAGCTCTGATGATGAGGTTTTAGTCTGCGGTGATACTTAACCTAGATCACCTACACCCGAGGTACCCATTCTCTCCCCAGTACCTTCTTCCTCACCTGCTTCCATTCCTATTTCCTTACCTCCCACCTTCCCAGTTATCACATCACAACCCACATCTACCATTCCTATTCCCACTCCTCTCTTTTTTGAAGCAACAACAATAACCACCACTGGAGTTCAAATCAACGTATCTGATACGGGGGTTCGGTCTTCAGTACCTGAAACAACCAAACCATTATCTCCCACACCTTCAACTGAAACCAATACTGTCCTTGACAATCTCATGGCCTCTTCCTCCTCTCACCATCCCTACTTTGAAGTTGCTATTCAGACCATGGTTGACTCCTTTGTCAAAGCTCATGAAGCATCCTTTTCTAACGCCACAACTGCTATTACCACCTCAACCAAAGTCTGCACAGAAGTGACTGCAAAAGTCGATAAAATAATTCAAGATGATAATATTTTTCTTGAGTCCTTATAGGGAGAAGCTGAGTTGAATGCTTCTAAAGTGAACAAATCAATTACCAAACTTGAAGAATCCTTTGCTGCTGAGAAGCAACACTTTGCCTCTCTTCGCCAGGACATTCAAAAGGATAATGTTGCCCTTCTGTCCTCTCTCAATGAACATTTCACAAAGCTTCAAGATGATCTAGCCATGGAGAACTCACTTATGGATGAACTTGCTCTCAAGACTACTCAACTAAAAACCAAAAGTCTCCAACTTTCTCAGGCGAACAATGAGGTCAATCAACTTTGCTCTGAAAAGGCTGTCGTTAAAAGCTGTGTCTCAGACGTACACTCCATTTTATCGAACGTTCTGGAGGCTCACAATCCTACACTGACCATCTCATTTAGACGCCATATTGCTGACAAATTCCATCCTGCCCTTGGGATGTTGAGTTGCATCGAAGGTGTTTCAGAGACTGTGGTACCTCCGAAACAGGGGGGATAAGGAATAACATCTTCGTCTCAACCTCCTCCTATTTCCCAACTAGAACATCAGAAGACTGAGCATACTTTGGGTTTGGGCTTTAAGTCTAAAGGCAAGGGTACTTAGGATGACAATGATGAGGAAGAGGAAAAAATAGCTGAGGCTCTGAAGCGAAAGGCAAGGGAAAGGGAAATCGATCTCAACGCCAAGATTTTAAAGGAGGCTCATGATCTCCTAGAAAATAAGAAAACCATCTTTCCCTTATGCTCTCTGGATAAGATGATCAAAGAAGCCATTGAATCTCCTAACACTCGTTGGCTTGAGCAGGTAGTGTCTTTGGATTGTGAAAACAAAAAGGACTCTCAGTTTGATATGCTTATCACCCGGAAGGCATTTGTTTTTCACTACTTTCTTCCTATTGCAGAAGTACCACATCCAGACCTGAAGGTTGATCGTGAGCTAATCGATTACTATTTGGAGTTCGCTCAACCTCAATATTTCACTTGGAGCGCTTAGAAAATTATCACAGTTCGGTTCCTTAAGCCTCAAGTAGCAGGGAAATTCATCATCGTCAAATTCAAGGTTACCAGAGGTTCGGCCATGTCTGAGCATACCTTCTCCTTTACTGATCTACCTAATCTCAATCCTCATAATTGAATTGTTCTGCACAACATTCTTCTCTCCAACCCAGTTGAGTATGAGCCAATCATTGATCATCTGAAAAGATTGTTAGTCTGCTACATTCTGGAGGTAGCTAAGATGGATCAAGAGGTCGCTTCGGTTCTCAGAAAGAAGCCTACCATTTTGCCTGTTGGTTCTGCAAGCGATGTCAACAAGATGAAAATGGGAAAGACTGATCCAGTGTTAAACTCCATGATGTTCACCAAGCAGGATGGTAAGAAATGCTTGTTCACTCTAACTGATAAACATCTCTTTACTACTTCGTGCTTAGAGTATGGTCTGGGAATCATTCACAAGATGTAAGCAGAATAGTGAAAGCGACAAGAAGTACTTCACAGATATCATAAGATGGTATATCCACTTTCATCATGTTCTTCTTGTTGTGATTCCATGCTTGTTCGAGGTAGTGAAGTGAGGTGCTGTCAATCCACCTAAGTGAAGGTCTCTCCCCAATTAACACAAAGGGGGAGATCGTTGGGATTTGGATGTTGCGTCTTGGGCTCGTTTGTTGTTAGCCCAATTTTATAACCGGTTTGGGCCTGTCCAACTGTGTATTATTTTATTCTAGGGTTTTAGTATTTAAGGGGCATGCATGCATCCTTAGGAAGTAACTCTTGCATTATTCTCATTATAGTATTGTAAACCCTAGCTCGCCTCTACAGTAGAAGTTCTTAATCGAGCTCTGCTGAGGTGTGACTAAGTTTGAATCATCAACATTATATTGATTCTATCTTATGTTCATTGTCTTGTTTGATATTGTTGTTTGTTCTTCTCTGATTAACCTGTGAAAGATCTAAACGATCTAGAGATTATATCTCAACACCTTCATACCAGAACCTACATTTCATTTTAAAAAAACATATGTAATACAAAATTGTATTTTGAGCTACATGAGTTTAAACATAAAAGTATTATTAATTATTTGATAAAAATCTTTGCATTAAAATTTTAAACAAATTTTGACTATGAATTGCACGACCTCACATAATTAATGGAAACTTACAGGTTGTCATGTATCTTATTATCACTTTTGTTAAGCTTACGGTTGCATACCACATCATGGGTCTAAGTAAGACCAAGTCGCCTTGTGCAACCCTTTCCAACTTAAAATAATATGAGTACATATCATCCTATCATGACATCATGTTTATTGACATCTACTTCGTGACGGGAGCTACCATCCTAGCAAATTCTTGTATGATGTCTTCATGATGGGAGCTACAATCCTAGAAATTTATTATGTATGCCCTTGTGGCACATCATTGGCTAGTCAATTTATTCTTTTACATCTTATTATCACTTTCATTAATGTTAGGGTTACATACCACATCATGGGTCTAAGTAAGACCAAGTCGCGTTGTGCAACCCTTTCCAACTTACCATAATAGGAGAACCAAATCATCCTATCATGACATCATGTTTTTTGACATCTACTTCATGATGGGAGCTACCATCCTAGAAAATTCTTGTATGATATCCCCTTGTGGCACATCATGGGCTAGTCAATTTATTCTTTTATTTACTATACATTGATTCACTCTAATGATGCATGATAAACACTTTTTTAGTGAGTCAATTGCACATGAATTTCATGCTTAGAAAACGAATATTAACACCCGCTACAAACAAAATATCATTTAGTGGAATACATTTTTATTGGCATACATATGATGTGCCACTATATCATGTTTTTAGTGGCATATTTTATGTGTTATTATTAAAATTAGAGGATTTAACCGCACGCAACATTTTCTGTCACGAATATTCATAATTTTTAGTGCATAATGTTTTAATATGCCACTAAAAGTTATATTTTATGATAAATATTATATGACACAGTTATTATAATAATAATAATTAATTAAAAATTGGTCCTTAATCTTCATGGTAATTAAAATTTTAGTCTCTCTTCGATTATTTTCAATAGTTTGATTCAAACAATCATACACATCATCTTTTACAAACATAAAATTTTACCCATTGCGTCATTTTCTAATTTACTCCCCCAAGAAACGATCCAAAAAATCTGTAAAATCGACACAACAACTTACACCATCACCCTACTCTACCAGTTACCATTGTTCTTGATGCATCAATGTCGTCATGGATAAGCAGTTCTTTGCTTTTCCTCCCAATTACAGCCCCATGAGAACCCCCCAAATGACTAGGTATCTGCTTTTCCTTTAATTATGTTTTTTTTCAACACATGTCAAATCAACAGTTGAATTTTGCTTGGAGAATCCTGTAATTCGTTGTTTTGATCTGATTGTAGCTATAAAATTTGAATCACATTTTACTCGAATAAAATAAAATACTCAAAAATAGATGAGGGTTTGTTACAATCATTATTAGGGTTTATCTATCTAAAAATTGCATGTCACAACTATTCTCCATCTACGTCTTCTAGCCACCTTACATCACGAACCCCAACCCTTCTTTGGATCGAATCAAGGTCTAAGATGCATTGTCTATCTCCCTCCCTCCTCCGCCGATCTAAAGGTGCTTGCACAATCAAATGATATCATGGATGGAGATGATCGTACAATGTTGGCTGAAAGGAGAACTAAGGTTGTGATGTCGATTAGGGTTGAACAAGACGAAGGCGTCGAGGAGGTAGAAGATGATAGCTGATGATGTGCTGGTTGTTTCACTAAAGTATCCATGTATTATGCAGGTACCTAACAAGAAATTAAACCTCACCATTCTTCTTGGAAAATCAACTTTTGATGTTCCCTTTTTCTGTAACATCTTGTTTCTTGTCTTTCACGCCATCAGCACCACCCGCACAAGGGCATCCTTTCCCGCCGTCGGCACCACCCGCACAAGGGCATCCTTTCCCGCCGTCGGCACAACCCGCACAAGGGCATCCTTTCCCGCCGTCGGCACCACCCGCACAAGGGCATCCTTTCCCGCCGTCGGCACCTCCCGCACAAGGGCACCCTTTCACGTTGTCCGCACCACCCGCACAAGGGCATCCTTTCCCGCCGGCGGCACCACCCGCACAAGGGCACCCTTTCCCTCCGTCGGCACCACCCGCACAAGGGCATCCTTTCCCACCTTCGGCACCACCGGCACAAGGGCACCCTTTCCCGCCGTTGGCACCACCGGCACAAGGGCAACCTTTCCCACCGTCGGCACCACCCGAACAAGGGCACTCTTTCCCACCATCGGTAGCAGCCGGACAAGAACACCCATCCGGACAATGGCACCCTTTCCCACCGTCACCACCACCCGGACAAGGGCATTCTTTAGCACCATCGGTAGCAGCCGGACAAGAACACCCATCCGGACAATGGCACCCTTTCCCACCATCACCACCACCCGGACAAGGGCATTCTTTAGCACCGTCGGTAGCAGCCGGACAAGAACACCCATCCGGACAATGGCACCCTTTCCCACCGTCACCACCACCCGGACAAGGGCATTCTTTAGCACCATCGGTAGCAGCCGGACAAGAACACCCATCCGGACAATGGCACCCTTTCCCACCATCACCACCACCCGGACAAGGGCATTCTTTAGCACCGTCGGTAGCAGCCGGACAAGAACACCCATCCGGACAATGGCACCCTTTCCCACCGTCACCACCACCCGGACAAGGGCATTCTTTAGCACCCTCGGTAGCAGCCGGACAAGAACACCCATCCGGACAATGGCACCCTTTCCCACCGTCACCACCACCCGGACAAGGGCATTCTTTAGCACCCTCGGTAGCAGCCGGACAAGAACACCCATCCGGACAATGGCACCCTTTCCCACCATCACCACCACCCGGACAAGGGCATTCTTTAGCACCGTCGGTAGCAGCCGGACAAGAACACCCATCCGGACAATGGCACCCTTTCCCACGGTCGGCACCACCCGGACAAGGGCACTCTTTTCCACCATCGGTAGCAGCCGGACAAGAACACCCATCCGGACAATGGCACCCTTTCCCACCATCACCACCACCCAAACAAGGGCATTTTTTAGCACCGTCGGTAGCAGCCGGACAAGAACACCCATCCGGACAATGGCACCCTTTCCCACCGTCGCCACCACCTGGACAAGGGCATTCTTTCCCACCATCGGCAGCAGCTGGACAAGGACACCCATTCGGACAATGGCACCCTTTTCCACCATCGGCACCACCCGGACCACCCGGACAGGGGCAACCTTTCCCACCATTGTCACCACCCTGACAAGGGCACCCTTTCTCACCATCGGCAGCACCCGGACAAGGACACCCACCCGGACAAGGGCACCCTTTCCCAACGTTGCCACCACCCGGACAAAGGTAACCTTTCCTGGCATCGGCACCACCCGCACAAGATGCAAACAACAAAGGGAGCATAATGATTAGGTGTCTGAGTGCCATGTTGAGATGTGTCGTGTTTACTAATGAAACTCGGTGTAAACTTTTTGTACTTGTTTTGCCTCATAAAATTTCATATTCTAATTTTGGAAAGTTTAGTTCATAAATTTGCATGCGGCAGTACGTGAAGCTAGGAGTTTTAGTGGTATGTGTCTAGCTTTTTGTTTGAATACCTTTAAATCGGTCGAGATCTATTAATTCGGGACACAGTTTTCGTTGTCGGCTTCAGGTATACATGTAATATAGCAGTTTCTTATTTTTAGACTACAAAAAAGTGAGTACATTGACATTTAGTGTCTCTTTTGTCATGGTACGTTTGTTACCGTATAAAATTGATGTTACCATATAATATTATTTTCATGTTTCAATACAAGTGGAAAAGCATATTTAGCTCCAATTTATAAATTAATTTTGAGAATGAAATATATAGCCTCTTACCCAGAGCGTTTATTAAGAAATAGGTAAAAATTAAGAAAAATCATATTTTTAGCCAACGAAATCACATTTGTCATTATCTTCCCAGCTTAATGCGCTGTGATTACGTGGCACATAAGAGCAATGTATTGAAACCCCAAGAAATATTTTTAACTTGATTTTCAAATTTTCAAACTCTATAATTTCTCTCTAATTGTTAAGGATGAATTTCCATCTAATAATGTTTCAATGATCTAATTTTTAGTCATTTTGTTTGTATTTCATAAGATACTATTTAAAACGTCATTGTTATATATACCTTTTAGTTAAGGCTTTATAAACTCGTATTTTACACTTAAGAACTTGTACCGTGAAGAGAGAAAATCACAAATGACATGTCTATTTGTGAGTTTTTATAATTTTATTGCACAAATTATGCATTAAAAGCTTTCACAATCGCAGATGGACATGTCTTCTGATGTTTTCTCTTAGCTACAGGAGAGGAAATTGCAAATGGCTTGTGTATATGAAATTTTCTCTCTTCTAAGTTTGATTATGCAACTTTCTAAAGCATGGTCCAAGCGTTTAAAGCATATATTATAATCTTATATAATTTGTTACCGGTAATTTTTTCAACATACGAATAAACAACTTTGTGCAACGTATTAAAGGTTCCAAAAATGAAATGTGGGAAGTAATCGCTCTTCTAGAAAGTGCACGTCGTTTGCTATTTCAGACGACCGCATTTAATTTTGACATCGGACATACCTGTTACACGTGCTAACAGTGATCTTTTACTTTTTTTTTTTTTTTTTTTCATTTCTTGATTCTCGATCAGATACACGCTACTAAACAAATGAACACATAAGAATGTCTAGAATTGCAAATTTCTCAATACATGTTGCTGCTTGCGGCGGAGTTTTGTTTAATCATTGAAGTTCATGCAGGATGATATTCAAATGGAAATCTAAGTAAAGTCTCATATATTGGGAAAAGGTTTGTAAAAGTCATAATTTTTTATTAATAAAAAAGCTTAGATAACCGTTTAATTTCTTCAGTTTAATCTTTTTTTACATGTTCAGCAGATAAACACTTATGTGGCATGCCAAATTGAAAGAGAGTGCTGATATGGCATTTCGCATGCCATATTAGCCAAAATGCTTACAACCCTAAAATATTTGAAAATTTGATGTTTTTGAGAAAAGGTATGGACGGGATTCAAAATGGTGACATTAATATCCCAAACCAAGGACTTAGCCAACTAGGCTATAAAATGCTAACGATTTTCATCCTCAACAATAATAATCCTTCTCATTCTCCTTAATAAATGAAAGTTTTTTGCATTTGTCCTATTCTCATTTATTTGGACATATAACATTTTCAAGATTTTTTAAATTTTCTATTTTCCACTTGTCATTTTATTGTATTTTTCATTTTATTATATTAAAATTCTACATTTAATGTGTAAAGTAATATATATGTAAACTATTTATTAGAAAGAGTTTATATATATATATAATGTATTCAATACATTAAAGTCTAATTAATTTTAATAATTCAATTTTTTTTCATTTTTCTTATAAATTCAAACTTTTCAAATTGTTAAAATTTTATATTTATTTTTTTAATTAAACTCATATAATACATGGATCTTACACCTACTATATAATACCTACCGATTTTCCTCATCTTAATCAAAGATGCCATTTCGGATAGGATAAAAACTAGATGGGGAAGCGTCGAACTTTCGTCCTTACGATACAAAATCTTAAATTTATCTAGATGACTTCTCATATATTTGTCCTTCATTATTATATTTATTGTATACCGTATACCGTTCCGAGGATTTATATCAGATTATTACTATTATTGTTATTATTGAAAACGAAATTAAATTAATTAATTTTTAAAATTAATTTTATGTAATATTATAACTTATGTAAATTTTTTAAAAACACATATTTATACGTATATGTATCTATTTAATAATATTACTTAAAACGGATTTAAAAAATAATTTATTTAATTGTTTTAAATAATAATAATAATAATAATAATAATAATAATAATAACAGCAACAACAATAACAATGTGTGAAATCCCGCTCCGCGGGATTCGGTTAAGAACAAAGTAATATATACAATTGGACTTACAAATAGAATCTGCATCACAAGATGAAATGTAAAACTAAATCTAAAAAATCAAACTCAAAACCCTTTTTTTTGAAGAAAAAAAAGTGACAAATATACAAATATCAAGTAGACACAAAGAATTGATAACACAAGATAAACAAAATCTGCTTCAGAAGAAAAGTTTGCTATATCTTAACCGCACAAAAAACACATACTTATACCGTTAGATTCGCTCCTTTTGGATTTGCTCACACACGATTTGCTTGAAATCGAAGCCCATCCCACACTCGAAGAACTAAAAAACAATCAATAATGAGAACAAATTAATGAAAAGAAAAGTAGCTGCTATTTCTTGCATTTAATCAGAAAGATAAATGAAATGTGTGTAATTAAACATAGAAACTAGCCACTTTCCCAAGAAAGCATATTCATAAATATTGAAAGGAACCATGCTCTAGAGACCCAGACACTACAAATAAATTTACATTTAGTGGCACAAGGCTTTAGTGACATATTTTGTTTTATGTCACTATATTATCCTTTTAGTGGCACATATGTTTACGTGCCACTGTATCTTATTGAAAATTCTAATTTTCATATCCCGCTCCTAATTCCCTCCATGGATAAAGCATTTTGCTTTTTTTTTTTTTGTGAAATCAAATTGACACAAAGGAATAGATAACTCTTTTCATCCTTACCTCCACTTCTCCAAGTCGTCCATCCTTTGCTTTTTCTCCCCATGATTACTGGAGCACCATCGTCTATCCACCTCACCAACACCACCAAAACACCGCCGTGTTCTTCTATAGATCAACCAGAAACCTCACATACCCTCCCTAATACCAAGGCTTTATTGTCTTCCATATGTTAGATATGAAGTATAAAAGATTTCGGAGATCAATAAGGTATCTATGACACATCCGATCGGATATATGGTATATAATAAATATTTCATTGCATATTCATTCGGGTATCATTATTCTCTGATGAAGAATACGAACCTTAATCAGGTATGGATTCTTTAAATGTTTCACTTTCCTTCAACTACTAGGCTATCTCCTTTCTCTCTCTATGTATGGCGATTGTAGAACCTAATTCGATTTTGGTGTTAACATATTAGGATTTTGGTATTTACATATTGAGTGTTCATGGATTGCAATTGTGGAACCCTAATATATCCCGTTTCCTTCTCTATTTATCGTGATTGTGGAACCCTAACCAAATTCGGGGTGCGATGGATGCATAATCATTTGGGGGAAGAAGAGGAACATGATTGAGGTGATGGAAAGCCCTGCTGGCTCCTCCTCCCACCCCTGCCGCAGTTACAGCCGAAGTGGCTGCAGCGGCAGCTGTCTCTGCTAGAGCTACATATCGCTCATCAAAATACTCAACCATCGTGGTCTTAATTGACGCAAACATCTCTGGAAACTACGCTCGAAATGCAGCAGCAATCTCATCTTGCATGATCTCCCGGATCTTGGCATCCATGTCTTCTGTCCCTATCTGAACCACGGGCTCAGGTGCTACCGGCACCTCCAACCCTCCATCTCCCGATCCGGATCCTAAAGCAACATGTCTCGTCACCACCATACTGAATATATATATATATATATATATATATATATATATATATATATATATATATATATATATATATATATATATATATACATAATGTCGGGAGACGAAAACCCAAAACCCTAGGGGTTTTGATTTCCTTGCTATGCGTATGGGTCCTGTGCTTTCAGTAGTACGGGCCCATACTACCTTCCACACCTACCCATATTTGTCTCAAGTATCACCACAACGCTCTAACAATATCATCAATATAGAAATGCGCCCATCCCTCACTTCTAGAGGAATATGAACTATCTCGCATCTAATCTCCCCACTTATCATAACCCATACATTCATGAAACTTCCATCATCCCCTGCAGCACTAGTGCATGCTAGCTGCACATAACACTGGACCCAATAGTCTTCCGAATACCCAATCCTACCCGAAGACCAAATCAGCATTCTCAGGCTATAAGGTATTTATTATGCACAACCGTGATGCATACACTAAACATCCACAGTTATGATGTCAATTCTACATACAAGAAACCCTAGGCTAATAGTCATGCAATTAGGTAAATCTATCATGTGATTCCTGAAGATCCCTAGCCTAGAACTAGCATGCTGTTCTAACATATAAGAATATCAAATAACTGCAGGGTATTTTGGGGTTTACTTATAGGCTCCGGCTAATCGTACCCTCTGCATCCTCCATCCTTCATTTTGAAAACCATTTTAAAACTTATTTTCCGAAAATCTCCTTGATTTGAGACTCGATTCATATAAGTGTTTCTCCAATTCACTCAAACCAAGGCTCTGATACCAACTTGTAACATCCATAAAATTCACACCAATTCTAAACTTTTTCAATCATAATAAAAACCATAGCATTGTTTACAA